TGTTTCGCCCTGAAAAAATTTCAACTCACAAAGGATCGATTCTCTCTTTAACCGCGCATATTAGGAGAATTACTAATGGTTCGTAGTTTTCTCTTATTGCGCTGTTACGTTGTCTATACATATATCAAGTTAATGAGTTATTATCTTTTTTCTTTTAGAATTTCTCTACCTCTCAAGACACACAGGGCCAGTTTCATTTCATCGGTCAATTAGGTGTCAACCGTGATTGGTCAGTTCTGGTCATTTCTGTTTAACAATCAATGTAATTGATCTATTCCAATGGAACGCTAAAATTGAATCAAGTAATTAAATTAAACGGAGTTGTAAAATCGGCCTTTACCTATATTTCGGGACTACATGTTTTCAATTGACTATAAGATTTGTTCCGTTGTACATATCGATGAATTCGTATATCAATATAGAATTTCCTGTATCTTATTATAACAGATCTTTTGTTAAATTTAGGATTGACCTTTTCGTAAGAAAAAAAACAAATGTCAAGATGGATTAATAATATTGCAATCTTTTCGATCTTTAATACTGTATACCCTTGCCACTAAGCTCCAGATTAAAATTCCAGTGAAGTGTAGCAGGTTTAAAATTAATTTGAGAATCTGAATTTTCATCTTATTTTCTCTCGAAGGTTTAATTCGAAGGCACATACCTTTCAATCGACAATTATTCTGGCATAAAAAGAAAAGATCAACTCCAAATGTTGTTGAATACATTTTTTTTATGTATTAGTAAAAAAAGGTCATGAAACAAACGTTAGATACTTTTGTATAACACAATAATAAAATTGGAAACCGTGAGGTCATTTGTAAAAAAACACTCAAAGTTACAACAATACAAATGATTTCTCGCACTATCGCGAACAGTATCCAGATTCATCTTCATTAGTCCACAACTAATGAAAGTAGAATAAAAAGGAAGAGCCGGAGAAGAGGATACTTTCCGTGTGTCGTAGCGACGTAATCAATTACCAATTTAATCAATTTACTTGTATTATATTACTGCGATAAATTTTATGCCCTACACAGCAGTTGAGAATTCATCGCGACCATTTCTATAAATGTTTCCAACGTCAATTCATTAGGTGCATTCATTTAAATCTATTTAGAGACACTGTTATTTTTAATAATAAATTTTTTAGTGAAAATATTTAGTGAACATTACTTGCCGTTTACAACTGATGATACGACATAAGAAGTTTTTCGAAGAGATTTTCTTCGCTAGTAATCACTAATATGATGTCAATGTAACGCCGTTTTCTTTTATTTTTCAGAAGAAAACAATTAAAACTGTTAGAAAAATATACTGCTATTATTTTTTAAGTACTACTTAAAAAATGCCGACAGCTTGGTTAACAAAGTTGTTTTTCGATTTCCTACCTCCTCATTATTTTTAAGAAACTATGCATTATTTATGTGAGAAATACGCGAAAAGCCGTTTCTGTCCGTATTTCGACAAGATCCATAAATACCTAACTAAGGACACGAACGGAATCGCGATTGGGAACTCACAGATCGGAAACTCGCAATTTCGATCAGAACTTACGATATGTTTTAACCATTTGCCATGTAACTATTTGCGGATCACGAATTTCCGCCCCACGAATTTCCAAATGCGATTACATCTGCCTTTGTTATTACGCACAATTATTGTGGTTCCTGTCGAAATATGAAATCGGCTTAATGTCAGTTTAATCAAATTAAGCAGAAATGTCAATAAAAAAATTAAATTTTAAATGCCTCGCTATTAATTACATAAGCGTGGTATATAATTAAATTTAATTTACTGATCAAATAAGTTTAGATTATTTTTGAAACAGCAAAATTCATGGCCCAGCTGCCAACTTTTACTTAGTAAATATTAAAGCTCTGTTGATATACATTTACGTTAGGAGCATAGAGAGGCAATAAGAGCCCAACGCTAGGTGTTAGGTGCGGAAATCTTATATGATCACTGTGCTCCTAACGTAAATGCCAATTTTTAATCAGAATTTAATGTATTACGTCTATCTCACGTCAATGCTAATTGTTTCTCCATCTTGGTGTATTATTGACATTATAATTGTCGTTTTAGTTACTACTTAGTATTATTTTAGTCTTTTTTTGTCAGTTATATCATATTAACCTAAGATTTCTTTTAGTTTAAATAACATCGTTGTTGATGCTTCACCTCTCGAGGTGACGTTCACTACTGCATTCATCTTCGCGTATAATACATAACTTCTATATCTTTTATTCTTCAATGAAGTTATTATTATTATATTTTATTTGCCCGCGAAATGTTGGAAGCTTGCCTGAATATTCATAATAAAACAAACAAAAAGTGGAATCAGTCTGATCAGTAAACGTTTCCGGATCTGCAACGATATGTAATCTTTTTTTGCGCTAATTTATAATATATAACATTTAACTCCAGGCACATACATATGTCTAGGAAGACCAAAAGTGGCACCTCAAATTTTCTCAAAAACATATTTGGAAAGAAGAGAAAAGAAAAATAACATGCTGAATATTAGCAACTATTGTTAATTATAATTGCCCACGCTGATCATCATAGCGAACAATCACACGATACTTTGAACAGCATATTCATTAACTGTGCGCCTTTGTACTGCGACGAGAGAATAATATGGAAAAGAGCACAATTAGATTGTACGACCGCGACATACTAAATAAATTGTAATAATATACGGAAAGAACGGTTTTGCTAAATATATTAAAAATTAGATCGGTAGATACGGATAAAATGATAATATTAAACCATAAAAATAATTACGTTATTTAGTTTAATATTATTGCTTGACGTTTAAACACAATGATAATGCTGCAGAAAGTTCTGACATTCTAGCAACCCGTTTGAATATCTAATATAATCATTTAGATGGTTCGGTATAATAATTTTCAAAATAATATCTTTCTGTGTACTGGGGGGGGGGTGTACCTACCTTGTCGTATGAAAATGTTTCGAGAGCGAAGGGGGGGGAGGGGGAAGGGTCGGAGGAACGAAGGGAGGGAAGGAGGAAGCGAGGCAGGTCTTTTTTCCACATTTTTTTTCGTCAAGAGAAAATTGACATATATTTTCTGAGAATGCTCAAGTTTTCTTGATTCCCCTTGGCACCCGAAAAATGAATTGAGTAATTCGTTTTTAATGTGATCGCGTGAAATGTGTCCATGTAAAGATACTTATCGTTTGACAACGTTCAAAATATTGCGATATAATGGTATCAGTGTCATAAAACGCCTTCTCTTTAAAATATAATGAATCTTTCCTCAGCTAAATACTTTTTGTCTTGAGAGAGAGAGAGAGAGAGACATCGACTAAAAATAATTACACAACTTCAATGAATTAAATCGATTTTGCAAACGTGCAATTCCTCAGTAACGACTATATCCAACATTATACATCGTTATGTCTCATAATTTATTTAGTGATGTAAACGATTTGCGACGCTATAACAAAGGATTACCCATTATCTTTCTATTCTCGGGAAACATTAGGCTATAATTACCGCGGTCTGTAACTGAGCAAAGAACGATTGCTTGTTTAATATTGTAAATATACAACTTTAAACAGAAGAAATTGAGTCCGATAATTTAAAGTAAGAGTTAAGTTTTTTTTTGCGGTCTTAAATATAACTTAGAAGTCATCGGGCAGTTGATCGAATCAACTTTTGATGAGACAATAATAAATTTATATCTACTTGTTACCTACATTGATACTTATTTATAGTATCATTACATTTCAATGCTGAACTACTACTACTACTACTACATTTCAATGCTGTGAGGTGTCGCAAAAATTAATACAACAAACAAATTTTAACTAATGAAGAATTTCACCAAGTTTATCAACATGCAAACATTGAATCTATGCTACACGATTGATGAGAAATCCATCATGCGAGATATTCACGTCCGACAATGAGTTTTAATTTGAAGAATCTGGTTTGAAGCAATAACTGTCGCGCGTAAATATTGTGAAAGAAAGATTTATAATTCCCATCTGCTATGAGTAAAAATTACGAAATGCCGCGCAAAAGTTTAACAAAATAATTACGTAAACTTTTAATTCAGCGGTTTTCGTCCCGAGAGAACGACACACTTAGCTCTTTGCAGATTAGGCTTTTGTCCCTCAGATTCGTCTCACGCGGCTAGCTATTTTCTCGTAAATTATAATCCGTCCCGGAGCGGCCAAAGCGGTGGTCACGTCTGAATATTAATGATGGTCGAGAATAGAACATTTTCGGCACGTCACCTCTTGAGATATAAGCTTTGAATTATCTTTTCTGCACGGACAACCGAATATGACGTGATCAATTCTTCGAAAGTTTTAACTACCTATAGTAATAGAGAAAAACTGAAGTGAAAGAGAAGTGTCACGTATCACCATCTAACTGCAGGAATGGTTGGAATGTCGGATCTCTGATGAAAAAAAGCTCTCGGATGGAATTTCGGATCTTTAATGAAAAAAAAGCTCTCGGATCGATCGAGAAAAAGGCAGACAGCAAAAGATTGGAAACGCATTTCTTCGGAATTTTTCTCATCCATTTATTTATTGATAAATAAATAGCGAGCGATTTGTTTTTAATTCTAGGATAAGAATTGAATAAAGTGTAAGCACATTTTAAATAAAATGCGTTTGATCAATTTTGTAGGTTCATAAACTTTAGTCTCACTATAATTGATTATAATTTGTCGTAACCAAGTCTGTCAGAATAAAAGATTTACTTCTGTAAGCCTTTCTGCGATAATTAAGTGAAAGATTAAGGCTCTAAAAAACGGGATCACGATTTCGTGATATATTTTGGGAAGTATTAATAATAAAAAGTAAAAAGAGAAAGAAATATTAAGAATAAAAGTAAACAGAATAAAAGTAAAATATTAAGAAAATTATAAATATTTGTTGCCTATGTCCTTATTTCTTACTTTCAATTAATATTTGTGGTAAGTCGCAGAATTTTTCTTTATTAACACAAATTGTACTTTCAGATAAAACTTCAAGTACGAAGTAATAAAATATTATTGAACTTAGAACGCTCAACTTCATAAAAATCGCAAATTCGAGATAAACGATTTATGAATATTCACTGTCGGAAGGACAAAGATGAATATTTTAACTTTAAAAGAGGAGAATACGGAAGTAAATGTTATTATGATGTTGTAATAGCATTATGCAGGCGGAGGAAACTGTCACAACACAACGTGCACATAGCACGTTAAATTTATCAATCCCTGACATCGCTACAGTTAACAGTCTTGTATTCGAAGAGTTGATGGAATCTACGAGCATATCGACAGGACCCACAAACGTGACAATGATTAATGAATCTATGACGCAGAATAACTCGAGCCAAATCGGGTCTGCTGATGGGATATTGTATTTATACGGAGTACCACCATTGATTCTCTTTTGCGTCATTTCAGTAGTCGTAAACATCAAAGTTCTGATGAGCGTATTTTGGATTAGACGCCCACTCAGTCCAACATTATATATCAGTTTAAGTCTAGCAGGTAATTTATAATAATTTTGTACGTACGTAATTTATGATTTATTAATACGAATATTATGGAACGTGAATTTGACGAAGTCATAGCTAAATTAAAAATGGAATGTAATCGAGAAATTGGAAACCATGAGAATTAAATTTTTTGTACTCTAATGCCGTTCTGTAGGCAAACTTATTTTTTTTTATATTCCAATTTTTACAAACTTTGCATCACTTTGTATACCTACTCATATTAAATGGAAACAAACAAAAAAAAGTTATTTGTAATTTTAATGTTATTAAAATTTTCGACTTTATGTAACTAACATACGCTAAAGTATCACCCAATATATGTCGTTGATGTATACACTGTTACATATGAAAGGAAATTTAAACAATTCCTTGAGTTAAACAACATTGTGTTATTTTCAACAACATATGTTGAAATTTATTATTTTAACACATAATTGGAAAAACACGTAGGGGAACAACTACATCCGAAAGTCAATATTATAAGCACTAGTACCACTCGCCACCGCAATGTAGCGATCAGGCTTTTTCGCATTAAAATATCATTTCGCCATAGTAGGTGTAAGAGACGAGCCGGCGAAAGATCAAATCTGATAGCAAATTGCCGTGGAACATACCAGATAACTAAGTATTTTTGTAATTGTAAGAAAGATGTGTAAGCTTGCAGTGCCAGAGTTTTTTCTTATCTCTCTTCTCACATACGAACGTGGTTCAGTGAATAAAGTTTAACCAAATTTTATTTTATTCAACAAAATAGGTCTCTCGGTGTAGTGAGTTATTTTTTACTTAAGTAAAAAATTTAAATTAACACATACACCTAGTAAATAATTACCTAAATTTGAGTCCAATTTAATACGTTTCTTAAAGTAAATTATTTAACTCCACTGTTTTGATTAACTTAGCTACATATAGAGTAGGAGCAATAGCGAACTATAGGAATAGTAAAAAAATAACTCAAATTGAATCAAATTTGACTTTATGAATTTAACAGTGTTTTTCAGCCCCAAGTTTTTCTATATTTAAGAATATTCTGCGTGCGCGCGCACACACACATGTTTGTAAATAGAAAAGTACTGTTTTGAGAAAAACTACCTCTGAAAATTTAGGCGCAGATGCTTTCTCCAGCAGTGTTCTGGGCATAGGACTAGTCTTGAATAGTTTCATACCTAATGGTCTTGAAATTAAACTGAAAGGTAAGATCTTTGGATCGCTAATATTGATATCGTTTTTATTATTAATTTATCGAATAGAGTTGTCTGGGTCGTGGATAAACTTCAATGACCTGAACTTTTGATGACTATTAGTTGATCGAATAAGTGCATTTTTATATTATTTCAAACATCTTTTACATCTCAGAATTCTTAAGTAACTGAATCTTGAAAGTAAACATTTATCAAATAATAGGAAGAAGCTGATAAGATGAAACAGATTACTTTTAGGAAAACGGTGCGTTTAATTTCTTTTACGATATAGAGTAGCATAGACTCTCCCTGTCTGTTCGATTCTCCCTTGACTGTAGAACGCGTTATTTCACAATTAGTAAAACTTTGAAGTCATACGGCGCACGTGAACGAACGTTTTACAAATAAAAAAAAAACAAATCAAAGAATATTCGTTGCTTTCAGATATGGATTGTTTTTTACTGGCTCTCGAAGTTGTACGATTGGGAGGCGTGATAATTACGGTATTTCATCTAATGGCTCTGGCTATCAATCATTATTTGGGCATTCTCAGACCCCTCCATTATCTTACGATCCTAACGTACAGGTAATATAATTTACTTCTTCACTAAAATAATCCCCATGAGCAATACAGTTATATTTTTCTTTCTCTTTCAAGAAATACCACAATTCTATTAGTTTTACTATGGGTGTTGCCCATCTCTTTCTTCGCGCTGTACTTTAATCTAATCGAAAATGACGGTTTCCAGTCCGAAGGATGCAGAACCCACACGTAAGTGTATTACCGTCAATTACAATTGTTTAATTATCATCAGTAGCCAACAAAAGCATTAACATTTTCCCGAATTAAATTTTGTATGATATTAAATATAAAAGAAAGTTTTACGTCACACGTATTTGCTCTCCCACGAAATTGCGATATGACCATGAAGATAAAATATACCGATGAAGGGAGGCAGCCCCGAAGACTGTGACTTCGACATATGTTGTCAAGGTCGTGGCTTTGAGTGATATACAAAAGGTTTTAGCAGTCGCTCGCTGTTCATTAAAAAGTCATTTAAAAAAGTGCAATAATTCCGCATGGATTTCTGTTTTAATCAGGGTTGGGAAAGTCACTTTATAAAAGTGTCTAGTTACCGTCACAGCTTTTTCGCTACGGTTACCAATTCTGAAAAGTAACGCGTTACAGTTACTTTGCAGTTACTTTCTTACGATGAAAATAAAAATATCAAATCTGCATTTGAATTGTAAAGTGTCGATAAAGGCGTTTATGCGCAAAGGCAAGGCTCAATGCGACCTGTGGAGGTTTAAAACATATATAAATTAATGTAACTATTAAATTAGTCACTAATTATCGAGAAAATGTAACTGAGTTAAGTTAAAGTTACAGATGAAGCGAAAGTAACGAAGTTAAGTTAGAATTGCCAAAAAAAAGTAATTGTAACTGTAACTTTGTTACAAGTAACGAGTTACTTCCCAACACCCTGGTTTTAATTATATTCTCTGCTTTAAGGAGAAGATTCAAATGAGGAAACAGAACTTGTTTTGCAAAGTACATGTATGGTAACGGTGTGTTCGCGAAAGTCGCGTACTCATATGTGAGACCAATATGTGGAACGCGTGGACCTAGTTTCGCTCCGAAAGCAAGGATCGTGTGGGGTGGATCTCGCTTCGCATGGAAGATCACAAATCCACGTGGAACCGTACAACGCGTGGATCTAGTTTCGCTCCAAAAGCAGGAATCGGTCTGGGGTGAATCTCGTTTCATGAGGAAAGTTTCAAACTCATGTGAAACCGTACAACGTTGAAGTAGTTTCGCCCCGAAAGCAAGGATGAATGTGGGGTAAACCTCGCCTCGCGTAAGAAGTCGCAAATTCATATGGAACCGTACACGGGGAGACTTTTTTTTTAGAATTTAACCATAGTCGTAGGACAACACCGCGTTTTGAAGAATTTTATAAAAGTTTTTTTGAAATTTTATTATATACTTTAATAAAATGTATAATAATAAATGTATAAAAGTTTTCAGAAATTTTATTATACATTTTAGTAAAATGTATTAAAATGTACACTAAAATCTCAAAAAACTCATGAAATTTTTTGAAATAGCGTGTTGTTCCACATCTACTGTGATTTTCAGGGTAAATTCCAAGAGAAAATTCTCTCTCTGTCCAATAACGATAAAAATATTATAGTTTCGCCCCGAAAGCAGGGAGGGGGGGGGGTGTGTGAAATGGAGCTCGTTTCAAGAAACACTCATTCTTTCCATTATCGCTCATTTGCTTATTTAGTGCGCAATGCTAGTGTCAGAAAATTACGTCGTATTCGTTAAATTAATTTTGTCAACAACTTTTTAATAAACAACGAGCTACGTCTAAAACCTTTTGAAGTTTACTCAGTCCAATTTCGACAACCTTCCCCTTTACTTGAATATTGTATAAGAATGTTGCAAAATATGAATTAGTTATTTTGAATAAACATCCTAATTTCCAGGTTCTTATCTCACAAGCAATTTCGAACGTTGTTCAGCAGCCTCTTCTTCGGGCCCTTCGCGCTGATGATTTGCATTTACGTTCACATATTCTATATAGTGAAGAGACATCAAGCCACGAGGCTCCGCTTTCGCAGAGCAGGATCTTCCGCCCGTGCGAGGGCATCGGAAGCATTGCGCAGTAATTCTAGGCAAATGGCGCGTAACGTTAAAGCTATCCACACAACTTTATACATACTTGGTAAGACGATGTGGTAAAAGAAGTGCGCGGTTAGGAAGAACGGAGATAATTCTATCAAGTTTCACATCAACGCAGATGCAATATGAAGCATATGTTTGATTATATTTACTTCCCGCAAAATTTATATACCACCGTTCGCACAATTTCTAAGGAAGCTTCGTGATCGGATGGATGCCCGGAGTAACGATGTACATGCTGGTTTGCAACGACTGCGTATTACAATTAAGAGGAGTGTCGGCGCGTGTCATGTTCTTCATCTACGCCATAATTAACGGTCTTATTATCCTGAAAACTTTGGTAAATCCCATTATCTACGCCGCCCGAATGCACGAGATTAAGGTAAGTCGTTTATTAAGTACGTGGTACTTGTGTGACCAGTGTAATATCATTAAATACAGTTGCTTAATTATTGTCATTAAGACACCTTGATAATGAGAACACCAAAACTTAGCTACATCATCGAAGTTTTGCGTTATGTACTTGTTTACCTGCGAAATATGACTATAAAATTATGAATTCTGGTATCCTAATTATCTCGCATGATTAATGAGGTTATTAATTGTATTGTATAAGTACTTTGAAAGAGTGCATAAGTGTTAATATTATAATATTTTATAGAAGAAAATTAAATCTTTTTCCACAATTTAAAATATTAGTGTCCAAAATTGCAGCATGATAATTAAGACCAATTAAAATTTTATTATAAACTAAACGATATCGTATTTCTTACGGGAAGTTTGCACCCGGAAAATTCAAAATATTAGTCTCCTAAATGTCGTGGAATGACGATTGTAGCTAATCAGAATTGTATTATATAAATTAAATAACACGGTGTCCCTTGCGGGAGACACTTGTGCTCGGAATTTTCCCGACGAATTTCAAGTTGGCGAAAACGTGCTTTTGCAGATTGCCATGAGGCGAATGCACGACGCCTTTTGCGGATGCTCAAAGCTCACCCGCTTTACTACCAATCGTGGGATCAGCAGAATTATATACAGCAGTGAGGAGAGCAGGCAATCGAGAACCAGTCGAATGTTTCAGAATATGAGCATTCGGAAAGGGCGAAACGGGAGCACGTATACATGTACGGGTTACAATATACATGAATATGGCAACACGCCCGTGTAGAACGTCAGGTGCGAGACGCGCGATGAGAAAACATTTTTTCGCGTACTTTATCGAAGAATCATGTAAATACCAGCTAAACGAGTGATAGCGGCTGCAACAATATTTTAATGGCATATTGAAAAAGCCGCATTACTTCTCTTCTCTTTTCCTCCTTCCCCCCCCCCCCGTCTGTTTCCCTCCCTTTCAACTTTTCCCTTAAATAGTTGTAACGTAGCTGTATTCCAAGTCCATGTATTTAGCCCAATTTTATATATATGTGCAAATTTCTGCAAGAATTATACGTGTTTCGTGGTAGAAATTATGGTGACACTTGATAGATGCGATCTAATCTCTTAAAGATAATGATAGCTCCTCTTAATAATGCTAATATATTTGTTCATCATACATTCGAAGTCAAACGAATTTTTATATGTATCTCAATACCATTTTAGTCAAATATATTCTAAACGTTAAAACGTATGACAAGACGAATAATTTTAACTCTCGACATTTCTTTCTTAATTGCATGCTGCGTAACAACATCGTCATTTCATTTATATTCAAAATTTGTCGGTAGAAAAAAGAACTTTAAATAGTATAAAATATTTAAAAAAATATATATATTGTACTGTAAAGTTTTCCTTAATTCTACATTGATTTCAATCAACATTTTTTAAAAGAATACTACTTTATGGTATACTCTCGAGTAATTTTATCTTCTTAAACGCTTATTTAAAAATAAGAGAAATGTCATAAAACTTAAAAATATATGAGATTAATAGTCAGAGAGTTATTTTTTTAACTGGAAATTGCTCAAAATAAATCAGAACGAAACTGCAAGGTTATATTATGTATGTATTTGCCCGAGATACTGATATAAGGAGATTCCTATGTTTATAAGAAATAGATATATATTTATATCGCGTATAACTTACCTACCATCCACGGCATCAATAATTTCTGCTCGAATACCGAGTTCCTTGAAAAGTGTCTGCATCCTTTTACGTCTCTCCGGTCTCCTTAATAGATTTATCATATAGATGCGGTCCAGACCCAGCGTGTCCTTTTCCGGATACACCACGAATTCTCTCAAATCGTTTGACAACGGCAGATAGTCGCTAAATGCTGTACAAAATGCAATCATGTTACATCAATCAATGTCGTCAACGCGATAATATTGTACACCTGATCGCATGTTGTGTGCACAAACAGAGAATGCAAGAAATTAAGTATTTATTGTTTTAAAGAAGTAAGATTAATTCAATCACTTATATTTTGTTCTTGCTCATTTACAATTGCCTATTTTTTCATTTATTTACTTTATGCTCTTTTTTTTCGTAGAAGCAAACTTACCCAACATTTCCACCTTAGTATTAATCAACCGTTGCATATCTTCTGCAATAGTCTCGTCATTCTCCAAAGGCACCATGACAAAGCCATAGACGTCGTCGTTACACACGAACAATGGCACATCTACGACACAATACTCTGTATGTATTTAAAGATCTTTACAGTCGAGATCAAATCTATTTTTTTATAGAATTAAAAATTAAGTCAAAGTGCAAGAACAGCAGCCAATAGTTTTAAAGAAAAATTGGTACTTATTGTTAGATCGGTACTAATCGCAAGCTGTTATGCATAATTCATAATTTTAAATATTAACAACTCAATATACAGGGTGTATTTCTAAGTAAGTATAAACAATGCAAGGGAATTTTCCTTGGCTTATTTTATTTAAAAAATGTCCCATGAATGTATGTTCTAAAGTGTTGTTAAAATAAGGTGCCAAATTTGAAATAAATCATTTTCCAGTACCGAACATTTTTAGATAAAAAAGTGAAGCTGTTTACACTTTTACTTTTAATTTCAGGAACCCTGTACAAGGGTCGTTTTCACCTTTACCTGATTTATTTGCTCCTATGGCGAAAGTTATGATATCGTCCACCGGACCGTCGTATCTCGTCAGTTTTTCGGCCTTATAACTGAGACGATCGGAGTAGAGTCTTCTCAGATCTACGAGAACCGCACTATGGATCATGGGCACAGCATGGCATCCCGTTTTCTCGCGAAATAGAATCGGCTCGTAGAGCTCCGTCCGCAAGTAGTAATGCTCCGCCGTCATTCCGGCCCAAAAATTACTGTACATGCCGTCCGATCTCAGCAAGGGCGCAACGATGGTATGCCCCTTATATATCAAATTGCGTATGGCGCTTGGGTTTGTCAAAAAAACATCGGCATCCAGCATCTGCAAGAAATGCTCTTTCCTCTAAACGTCGACAGATTTGTTGGACGATAAAAAAAATTATGAACGGAAAGAACTTATGCTGAGCTATTAAAAAATGTACCGGCCGAAAGTTTGGACGCCGGGAATAAATGCAGAAGTTGAGAAAGATAAACTGACAGAATAAATAATTATGGCATTGTTTCAAACGTGCTTCTTACAAAGTTGTGTCGAGGATATGTGGAAAAGCAGAAGAAACTCGGAAATTTTTGCAATATGACGCGGTTCTCTTCGTCATCGGATTTGAGTTTCATTGAAGTATCATGCGATGAGCTAGATCGATGCGTGAGAAAAATGAATTCCAAAAATAAACAATAGTTTTTCTAGACGTTACAAACAACTTGGAAGAGTACTTTGAGTTAAACACTCGTGAAACTTCTTAATAGAATGCCAAAAAATTTCCGCAGCTATGTAGAAACTAGGTAGACAAAAACAGGCTTTAGCTCTATAGACCGAAAACTGTAGAAAGCAAAAGTTACGTGATATTGTGTTTTTTTTATTGATATAAATACTAATGTATATCTTGTGTTTCAATAAATTGTTTCTGTCACAGAAACAATGTTATAACCGTTTATTTTGTCAATTGATCTCGACTTTTTACATTTGTTCCCTTCAAAATTTTAGTCGCTACTGTAGTTAGATACAGACCTGAAAATAAATTTTGTCGAACCGTCGAAATAATTGTGTAGAACACTTAGATAAGATAATGCTGCAAACAGTTTCAACATTTTAGCAAATCATTTGAATGTCCTATATAATTATTTCAATGGTCCAAGAAAATTGTTTTCAGATCTGCATTTAGCTAAATTTTTTAATAGCAAAACCATTCTTCGTGCACAATTCCTAATACCGTTATGTGCTGAAATTGTTATCTTCATATCTCTTTGAAATTATCAACGTTCTTGGAATTTCTCTGAGATAATTTTTTAACATACAATGTGTTATGGTATGCTTAACACAATACTAGTTGCAATAAGTAGGAAATAGTTTCGAAAGTTCTCCCCAAAATCGTTCGACTTAACATTAAGTCATGAACATATCCCGTCCTTCGCAAATACCGAATTCTTATCCTCTTCTTTAAAAAATTTGAAATTTTTCTTTCGAAATCGAGTAAATCTTTCTTTTTCATATCAAGACCACTTGGTTATGATTATTTTAACAAAAAATTGCCTTGATTATTAAATAAACGTCCGTCTTAAGTTTCAGGCTCAGTTCTCGTCAGTAGCGAACGAACCTTTAACTCACTGTCAGCTCTACATTCTGTGTTACTATATTCTGTGATTGTGAATGCTTTTCATCTAATGACACAAATCAACACAAGTGTCGTTTAGTCTCTGTTACTCATTGAATACCAAGAAAGATTGTGTCGACATGTGTCACTAAATGGAAAGCATCTGTTGTAGTCTCGCTTGACTGTATCGTCAAATAAACTTATTTAAGCTTAAACTTGATCAAGAGACAGCTGTGTTTCATCCTCCTCAATACTTCAAAATATCATTGTGGAACGATTCTCGTATGATTTGTGTAATTTTGTATTAAAGTTACTAATTAAAATAGATTGGAAACTGTTAAAATAAATTTTCAGCTTTTAGATTTCGAACTATTCAAGTGCGTTGATTTTACGTTGTTTAAATAAATTGATACACGTGTAAATTGAAATTCTAAAATTTTCACACTGTTAAAAATAAAACGCCGCAATAACTAAAGTTAACGAAAAAGAATAAGAAAACGAATGAGAATACGTAAGCAAATGTAATATAATAATATGTATATTGTTTACTTGTCGCGACGATGTTCGACTCAAAGCTCTGCATTCTGACCAGCACTTGTGTGTGATTCCGCGGTTTCTTCCCGTAATTTCGCTTATCAAGAAAGAGTAATACGACGTGCGGAACGGCGCGGGCGTAACTGACTCGTTCAACTGTCGCCGCGTGAATGATCTGCGTACGGCGTGACCGAGCGCCGTAAACAATTAAAGAACTCCGTCGAAAACAGAGCGCCGAGAAATGACGTAGCGCCGTGAACACCTCGAAAAAAAGTTTGTTTTTATTGTGTCTAATCAGTCGGCGCGGCACAGTCGAGTGTAACGGATGTCCCGCGTGTCTTCGCGTCGTTTCCCGCGACGCAATCGTCTCCTACGAGAGCTGTTAACATCAATCGATCGCGTTTAATTAGCTGTCGCAGTCCGTAATCTTATCGTTGATTTCCGCGGTGATTTCTCGAGATGAATGTCACGCGCAATTCGAAAAGGAAACGCGATAAGGGAATTCCATATACAAATTATTAGCTCGTTGCGCTAATTTACGAGACAGCGGACGAATACTTCGCGTTTCTTCGATTACGATGTATTATATCTAACGAAACGCGATAAATATGGGAAATGTGCCACGGAATCGTCGTATTGTAATTTTATATAAAATAATTTCACAAGTGTGTGTTGTGCGAGTGTTGCCAAGAGGCAATAATGGAAGAGCAGACGAAGGGAGAAAGAACAGGTTCTGAGGTGATCGTCAATGGACGACGGCAAAGTCACGAGAGGTAAGTGCGACATTTCTCATTTATAGCATCAGTGATTTTTATTGACCGTATCTGGCAATTTTGAGGCCGAGGTAATATTTTTCGCAATAAATTTTCTCTGTTATAAAAATTGCCAGATACGGTCAATAAAAATCACTGACGCTGCTAATTACTGCTGGCGACTTTTAAGAATATTCTTACTGGTTTCTCATTTACGTTATAGTTTCAAGAAAACGAAATTAAGTTAGCTCACCAAAATGAAATCCGCCCAAATTGCTCGCGCATAATCGAGCGCCTGTTAATTACTGCTGGCGACTTTTAAGAACATTCTTACTGGTTTCTCATTTACGTAATATTTTCAAGATAACGGAAATTAAGTTAGCTCACCAAAATGAAATCCGCCCAAATTGCTCGCGCATAATCGAGCGCCTGTTCGCGCAAATCTATTACGTGCGCAAATCTGCGAGGCGACCAATCAGCGATCGATCTCTCGTCCACGAAACCCCTCGACGATTCATTCAAATGAACATTCATTGAATGATACATCTCGCTCCTCGTGCTAATCCACTTGTTGAGTATCCCAATCGAGTTGTCGACATTGTTGTCGCTGCGTATCCTGCAACAATTAACGTAAAATCTCCGGGTCTCAACAGGACTATTTGAACGAAAATCTTACGCGTCCGTAAATCACATCGATGAGTGCTCAAACCCAGATAGCACAAGACACATGTGAACATTTTAAGAATATTCTTCAAGAATATTTGGAATATTCCATAGGTCGGTCTTATATATTTGTCTTATGTTCGTAGAATAGTCGACTGGCGCTACTACAAATGTTTTTCAAATGTGAATAGAATAATCTATCGAATATAGCGTGCCGGTTGTACACACAGAAAAATATATACTACCTGCAATATTATTTGTGTTCCAAGTATTTGATAAGTTTATATATCCGCAAATCTATCATAATGTCGTCGCATGTGTTATATTTACTCAAAACATATTCTGGATCTTAGTAAGTCCAGTACTTCGAACAAGAATACATAGAATTATTTGAAGCAAAACAATTTTGTCCCTTCTGATTTTATTAAAAGAAACATACGGAATTTTTCAATAAGTTTTGTAATTTTCTTCAAAGAAGAAAATTTCTTTCTTTGAGTGCAAGCTTTTCTAAGACTAGTAACAAGTATATCTTAAAACTATTATTAAGAAAATATTCTTTGTTGAAGCAAACTGTTACTTAAACGGAATAAAATAAACTGAGTAATTACTTTTCTTGACTGTACAATAATATTTTTCTGTGTGTACACGGTATGACGATAGGTTTCACTGTTTTTTGCATAAGATAAGTGTATTACGCAATGAACAATGTGCGATACATAAACTCGATGAATATTAAGAAAATTATTCTGAACGAATATTCCAAAGACATTCTCGGCGAATATTCTGAAAACGTTCGTCTTAAACACTGGCGCTTTCGCACGCGCCGCATCGATTGGCGGGCAACTTTAAGTTTGCAAATAATAATTTGAAATTGATAGAGGACGGACGAGAAAATGCGTGTCGACAACAAAAAAAAAAACCCCGATGAAAGCGATCGCTTCAGGGTGTCTTTAATTAATCTCCCCGTAATCGATGCCGTTCAATCTTTATCGGATTATAATTAACACGAGGCAATTGTTGACTTTTTACAAGTAACTGGAGACGCGTGAATCCTTGCCGCGTTTTACCGCTTACATTGAAAAGCACGCTGATGGATTCTGTAAGCAACATCGTGAGAGAGGGAGAGGGAGAGACGTTGACAATCGTTACGCTAACGAATTAAAATACTCTCGCGGCTTTTACGATAGCGAACAAGGAGTGAGGTTATGTCCCGTTTCTCACCATAAACTCGTTCGTTTCTTCGGGTGATCCTGCCGCTCCAATAGAGTCAGAAAGTACGGCAACGTGTGCGCCTTATTCCTGACTAGGATACCGATCAGCACGGTCGGTTCTTTCGATGTCGTATCGCACGTAGCCAGCCACGCGAGGCCGAGAACGAAATGACCAATTAAATATCCCCGAAGAATCGTCGCGAGGCGGATAGGAAGTCGAGACATTGTAGTCACGCGCGTATCTTCGTGCGACTTATTAAAAAAAACCTAATTGGGAGAATGGAGATCGCGCGGGGAGACGGCCCGACGACGTGGTCTCTCCTCTCATTCTGTTGCTTATCGCGAGCGCGTGGGTGCGCGCAATCGATAAAGAAGGAACTTGTGGATCACATTGCTTTAATCGATTCTCAAGTCAACATCACGTCCTCACATTCATTCTACAACAATACATAAAGTGCCTCCGAATCCGCTTTCTGTCTCTCGTAGAAAAAATATATCAGAAAATATATTGTACAAAAACTGCACTATTAAAATACACGTTGATTCCCGCGGCAAATTTTCCATATTTTGCCGTATTTCTAACGCGATCTTAATTCAACTTTTTATCGAAGGAACGTGGGCCTCCTTTGCTTCACTTGGTTTATTCGCCTCTTCCGGTTTCGCCTTTTTCTTTTGCGCGTAACTTAGCTTGGTTTTATCGAACTCTAGAACCATTATACCCAAATCTCCGCTGTACCTATTCTTTGCAACCTAGTGACACGGGATAAAGTAACTCGTCATGTTACATATTCAAAAATATAGAGGAAAGCCCTCTATATCTTTCCTCTATTACGAGATAGGTTTCCAATTTGAGATAGCCGGTTTTCAACGCCTAAATTCCATCGCAAATCTTCTTTCGCAACGATGGCACAATCTAACAACGAATTTCCCACTGAACAGATTTCACTCCAAGGGCAATAAATTCATGGTGGAATCAACAGACGATGCCTATTTAGCAGAAACTCCGCCACCTCATATCAGGAGTCTGTCTCATAATAGAGGGCTATCCTCTACTGTCTAACATATACCTGCAAATATTTCTTTCCTTTTATATTAGTGAGCCTTTTGTCTTGTATAATCAATACGTTGTCAGCTTCTTGACTCGCCTTGGCGCTACCGAAAATAGACAAAGTTGTCAATTCCTCATCTCGCTCCTTCCTCGGATGTATAACCAAAGTAACGTGGCAGTTATACTTTGTGGAAAAATTCCTAAACTCTGCTATGATCTTGTCTTGTTTCCAAAACCTACAAATATACAATAGGCATATAAATAAAATCAATTCATTTTAGTTGGCGTAATTGATTGACATCGTTACTTTTGTAGAGAAGATGAAAATGTTTTTTCTTTTCTATAAATGCAATACCACGTAAATAAAATCAATTTGCCAAGAAAACAGATAGAACAGTCGTCTCACCTATCGGTCAATTCATCTGACATACCCATCATAAATTGCATATTGTCAATTATTACATGAGCTATGTCGTGTACATATGTCGCGTGTTCTACTGCCTGATAGGAAAAAAGCGAAAAGTTAAACGTAATACCAAATCTTGTGCTTACAGATAATGTCGATTGAACATACATCCATGACAACTTTGATGTTCTGCTGACCGTGAAAAGTCATAAAGTAAATTGGCAACTTGTTAAAAGCATCGGCATACGTGTCGAACTCATCCAAGTTGTTTTCCAAAGACACCTCCGCCATTTGTTGCAGCATAGTCCTGGCTAACCGAGCGTTTCTAATCTCAAAACTACCCCATAGCGTATTAACACCTTGCATTGCTAAATCCAGTGAATACTCGCTCATAAATGTAGTTTTGCCGCTGCCTGAAAGTCCATCGATGTGCATAGAAAAATGCAATTGCGTAAGCGCAGTATTCTTTCATGCAAGTCATTTAGTTATCTTCTTGTTTCGGTTAACTAGTCTATTGTCATCTTACCAGTTGGACCAGTTAGGATCGTGAACTCTCCTCTTCTGTGTCCCTTTAAAATTCGATTTAAGGTGGGATATCTTTTCCACTTTACACCTTGGACCTTGTCTATATTTTGCAAATCGCATAATACATCCTGCCTGAGATCGTCAAACGTAGTGATACTTTTATGCCAGATCGGTTGTGCGTTCGTCAAGATATTTTTAAGATCGTAGCCCCTGTCAGCAGCTAGTCTCGGTCTGGGTTGCGTGTCAATTGGTCTCACAAAGTAACATCTCTTCTCACTTAATTTCTTAGCGAACTCCCTGGCTGTATACCAGCTAGGCTCGTCGTTTCCGAACCACAGAATTAATTTTTTAAAGTTTTCGAAATTCGGCAACAACTGCTGTGGCAGGTTCTGTAAATTGTACGGCAAGCAGACAATCACGTTCGCTGCCTTTTGAGACGCTATTGCTAATAAATCGTGTATCGTTGGCACAACCACTGCAGTCCCATCGCTTCTAGTGCCTTTTTGTTTGTAAATGATAAATCCACCAACGTTGTAATTAGGTACAGTTTGTTCCAATTCTGGTTCGCAAGAAAGGGTTTTGTAGCCCACAACGTTGCCAAAAGCAATTAAAGGAAAATATAATAACGCTGGTGCAGTCGCATATACGCCATTTAATTGTAAGATGTCCTCTTGCGAAACTCTCTGTAACAATTTTCTTTAACGTAACACTCGCATATTTGAGCAATGAAATCCATGCGTTAATTTAATTGTCTTACTGGAAGAGAGAACTTATTCAGAATATTTTCATATAGCTCTGACGATAAAGATGCAATGTGTTGATTGGACTTTATTATGTTGTTCCATGTTGAAGCGTGATTTTCCTCAGGTTTTACAGCATCTCTCAAAGTTTCCAATTCTTGCGTACTATTTGCCTTGTTCGATTTCGTCAATGACAAAAATTTCTCCAATATATTCCATCCTCCTTTAGAATTGCATTTATCGCATACAAAGTATCCTGGAATTAACGAGTTTTTACAAGAATTTTATCTATTCGCATGCTTCTCAAAGAAATTTATCTCGGTACATGATATTTTATAGTATCTTTACCTGTTGTCTTATTAATATAAATCTTTGACTTTTTAGATTTCTCAGAGTCGCATATAGGACAGTCGATGATTATGCATGCATGTCCTTCGACAGTGACAATATGCTTTTGCTTCAGAATTTGTTTTACTTGAAACAACGATACCCCGGGTATCGGGTCATTTATAGTGCCACTATTAGCTACATGCAAACGACGAGAAAACATCCGAAACTTATAACTGTCTGCAGCGAAAGAACGCACTAATAATTTTAAAGACATTATTCCTCTTATCTAATTGGAGCTCTATCGACATTGAAATTAATTCTACTAGCTTTCAAAGCTTTGATCAATAATACAGGCTGATATCTCATCAGTCTAGCCGTAGAGAATTGTGCTGTACAATTCATTCGAATAATTACATTAAGCTTCTCCCAGGAGCACTACTATTGTTTATATCGAGTGTAATAACGATTACATGAAACGTAAAATATTTTTATACAATTGTCGAAACTGGCATCCTTATTGACGCTTTCAGGATGAATGATCTTTACATGTCTTGTTGATATTATTGTGATCATAACACTGAAAAACCGGCGTATAACTATCGAACTCAAGTGGATACTACAGAGCGCCCGGCTTGCTCCAATGTGTAGAGCACGTGTTCACACAGTGAAGTTGGTTGCTTGCACTAGTGCGCACCAAGTGCACACTGGTCTGGTTTACACCATGATGTAAGTATAAAGGTGTTCCATTCCCGTGGATGCGCAGTCGTCAAAAATGATAGCCAATCAGAAATGGCCAGGAATGTTAGAATTCAATATGGCTGCTGACAGTGTCACACAGAATAAACAGTGTTGGTAAGGTTAAGTGTGCGTATTAAGAGAATGGCTGGCGACGGAGATTGATAGCAGGGGCCTCGAGAATACGGACGTGGAGCCTATTGAGGATATCTTGAAGAGGATATCTTGAAATATTATTCTTTTATTACAAATTTTAAGTTAAAATATATATTTTAATATATATTTAGTAATATACGATTAATAGAGCATTTGAATTTCGCGGCTGCATTCCTGGCCATTTTTCATTGGCCTACTACACATACGTCACTACGGATGACGCCATTATGCGCAATGGTACACCTTTATACTTACATCATGGTTTACACCGTTGTTTGATACGCGTATCCATGGAGGAAAGAATAAAGCCTCGTCTACATAGAAGTCGTAAAGTCGTAGTCGTAAGAATAGTCGACTGCGATTGGTCAATTCTTATGTATCTGACGAAAGTGACCAATCGTAGTCGATTATTCTTAAGCCTCGTGTCCACGATCCAAGAACTGTGGGTTTGTTTTCTGTTCCTGCACTGGTGAACTAGTGCAGTAAGCTAGAATGAGAAAAAAATATGCTTGTCTTAAGCCCAATGTCCACGATGCTAGAACTTGGTCCAAGTTCTAGTTTCGAGAAATCTGTAGCCAATCAACGTGCAGCTATTCCATAAAAGCTGCAAATTGATTGGCTACACGTTTCTCGAAACTAGGGCCCGGTTTCACCAACGCGAGTTAATCTAATCGGTCGGTTAACTTGACAGGGTGCCAACATAAAACTTCTTTATTAACCAAGGAAATAGGTTAATAAAGAAGTTTTATGTTGGCACCCTGTCAAGTTAACCGACCGATTAGATTAACTCGCGTTGGTGAAACCGGGCCTATAACTTGGATCAAGTTCTAGCATCGTGGACATTGGCCTTTACTCCAATTTATTGCACTAGTTCACTAGTGTAGGAACAGAAAACAAGCCTTGTGTCAAAGTTCTAGCTCCGAGAAATACGTAGCCAATCAATCTGCATCTTGTACGGAAAAGCTGCAAGTTGATTGGCTACACATTTCTCGGAACTAGAACTTGGACACAGTTCTTGGATCGTGGAAACAGGGCTTTACGACTACGACTCTGCGATTCGCATTGTAGACCCCGAATAATTGGTCAATTCAGTACGACACATAAAGGTGCAATTTCATGCAAGCGAAGAAAGCTGGCGGTTACACCCACTTCATCGATTTCCGACATTGAGCGAAGACACGCTCGAAGTTCGACATGGTCAAAGACTAGTATACAATTTAAGGTGATGCTGGAGTCTCTCTGTTTTACCGACATTTTTTAATTAGGGATATCTTTTAATTGGCTTTACAGAATTGCAAATTTCTTGTACACGATTAAAGTTCGCACAAAAATAAAAGTCCGTCTGCTCGACTTTATATAAAAAACGAAAAAAAATTAAATATTTTAGCACGTAGAGCTGTCACATGACGATAATATTTGCTTATACAAAAATTCTATAGTTTATATCTGCAAAATGAGGCCGGAGAGACCTAGGGACAACATGCAAGAACAATATTGTGTACTTGGAACTAAGATTAAAAGTCTAGAAAAAAAAGATAGGGTTAGAGAAAAATTTATAAATGCAAATACAGCTGTAGAATGATAAATAGAGGACTGCATGATAATAAGATGGCGCTGCAATCTGATAGACAAGGAAAGATGTATCGTGTTATTGCTCTCTCTTTCTTTTTTATGTAATATACATATACGCACACATACATAACTTTCGCGTTGTCGGTAAAACAGACAGACTCCAGCATCCCCTTAAATAATATATAAATACTAAATATATAAATATTTTAAAAATTAACCTTTCTATCCCAGTAACACATTTAATTTGAAAGTTGCATTACAGTATGCGGTACTTGACTAAATAATTCAAGAAAATACTGCACTCAATCTTTTATCTAAAAGTATTAAAATTTAGTTAAAAGTTAATAACATCTTCAGTGAATAAATTAAAAATAAAACAATGAGACCAATCATTAAAAATAATCTAAATAATTACTAGAATGCCAGAAATAATATAGTTTTACTCTATAATAATTAATAATGGTTAATTGTTACAGTTAACTATACATATAAACGTAGTAGCGATATCACACTCACAGTGAATTGTATACAATTTAAGTAATATATAAATACTAAATATATATAAATATTTGAAAAATAAACTTTTCTATCCCAGTAACACGTTTGATTTGAAAGTTGCATTACAATGTGTATGCGGTACTTGACTAAATAATTCAAGAAAATACTGCACTCAATCTTTTATCTAAAAGTATTAAAATTTAGTCAAAAGTTAATAACATCTTCAGTGAATAAATTAAAAATAAAACAATAAGGCCATTCATTAAAAATAATCTAAATAATTACTAGAATGCCAGAAATAATATAGTTCTACTCTATAATAATTAATAATGGTTAATTGTTACAGTTAACTATAATACATATAAACGTAGTAGCGATATTACACTCACAGTGAATTGTATACAATTTAAGTAATATATAAATACTAAATATATATAAATATTTGAAAAATAAACTTTTCTATCCCAGTAACACGTTTGATTTGAAAGTTGCATTACAGTGTGTATGCGGTACTTGACTAAATAATTCAAGAAAATACTGCACTCAATCTTTTATCTAAAAGTATTAAAATTTAGTTAAAAGTTAATAACATCTTCAGTGAATAAATTAAAAATAAAACAATAAGGCCATTCATTAAAAATAATCTAAATAATTACTAGAATGCCAGAAATAATATAGTTAATATCGATATCTATATTAACAATCAGCAATAAGTAAATAACTAAATAGATAATATATAATATATAATAGATATATGTATTCAAATCACTGTAATGTAACTTTTGTATCTCAGTTATGTCCGTTATTCCGAATCATTGTATTTCGAAATCCTTACAGTGCAAAAACTGCTCGCCTGATGTAAAACGAGTTTTTTTTGTGCCTCGAGCTCTATAAATAAAAATAGTGCAGATAAACGAATTAGCATAACACTAAATTGATACAATAATACAAAGAAAGGTAAAATTGACTACTACTTTTTGAAACAACGAAAAACATTGCAAATGTAACAACACTTACCAAGAAGTATCCCGAAGGCAGTAGCAGCATCGCTTTTTGTGTACGTCTCGTTTGGAATAAGATCTCCGAATCTGACCAATTCTTTGTCACACCATAAAACTTGTAATAGAGCATACAACTCTTGACTCCTCAGTTGAGGCTGCGAGGAACCGCGAGAGCTAACAGTAAAAACAATATTTTTATTATATGCCAAATAACTCTTTAAACGGTAGATATGTGATAACAATATGCTAAGTTTCGTAGAAAAGAACTAAGCAAGGTTCTTAGATTACGACAAAGCGATAAAAGTTTTATTCTTTTCTCAAACTGTCAATTAATGAATTTCATATGTATTTTGTCAATATCCATTTACGAAAGTTCGAGTATACACTTAGAATATTGTTATGTCCAGCTGTTTATTTAACAATAAAAGAAAAATTCAAAATACATGGCCGGAGATGCTGGAATGTGTTGTAAAGGTTGTTGTTTTTTTAATAAATTTTCGATATCCTCGAAGCTTTCATTAGTGTCAGCTATATTTGAGTTTTCCTGATGCGGTCTAGGCCCGATGCTGAAATAATATCATTTAATAAACAGATACTGAAATGAGAAATTAAAGTGTTAAGGGAGCATAAAATAGCAAAACACAGAAGGAAGATTGAGCAATTGAGGAAATATTGAAAAAGTGACAAGTAAAACAAGTAAAATTGAATAATTCTTAATAATTAACTTTCTAGTTCAATAAGCTCTTGAGTATAAATTTTGTATTCATGATCATCACAAAGTAGACTATTACCCAGTGCCTTCTAGAGTAATCATATCATGTACCACCTCCGGTACCATTCGCACGTCCACATCCATTTCGTGAATTGGTAGAATGTTTGTAGTACTGTCTATAGGTTCGGCAATTGCAATATCTGTCCTCTTGAGTGTACTCACATCCGTAGGAAGATTTAGCTTGCTCATTGGCTCTTCTGGGACGCGCATTGCTTCTGCGACTAAAAATATAAATTTATTCAAAGTTTTGTACACATACATCAACGTAAATATTTAACAAGTGTCTAAATAAACTTACGTTGCCCGAGTTCGGCAGGTGCAACATCTTCAGTTACACTGGTGAATGGCCCGGCGATGCGATCATGAAAGCGTTTGCATAAGCGGGCGTTCCACCGTGAGTGAGAAGGTTGCGTGAAAAGATCTTTCGCCGATGTCAGTAATAATCGAGGTACTATCGTAGCTGATGGCTGAGAATAATTTAGTCAGAATTTTTGAAATCTCTTAAATGAAAATTTCTCGCTTCTTGAACGTTATTATTTTATAAGTTTATACACGTCTTTTGTAAGTTTATATAATTATTAAACTCACCTTACAACGAATATTCACATTCTGACGCCATCGTTTTAACAGTTTGTCACTTAAGGCAATATTTTCGTCAGTAACTAGTGTGGTTTTCTTTCGAGGCTTGTCAACCACGAAGTAGCTCGAGTGTACAGGTTCCAATTCGATGTCCGCTTGCCGTGTCACATCCTCTACAGGACCAGGAGGTTCGATCATCGTTGCACCTTCAAGGGATAACTGAAAAATGTATAGGAGTCCGAATTAAAAATTAGGTATAAATAAAAAGTAGTGCAGAATGAGAACAGAGGAAACGAGAAGTCTTAATTTTTTTAACTTTTTAGCTATTACATGGTGATTCTCGTTTGCCCTCTACTTTATGGACTTCATCCAAACGACATTATCGATTAGAAACAAACGTACGCGTCTTCTCTTCGTAGGTGTTTCCACGTGTGTTTCACGTGGTTCCTTTGTAGCTCGTTTCTGTGGAGTTAAAGGCAGTCTCTTTGTAACATCACTGAATATATCCACGAGCATTGGACCATGGATTTCCTGAGATAACTGTTGTTTTTCAATCTCTGTTCATTAAACGATCACATTAATAGGTTTAATTTTTTAATTAACATGATAATGTAATATATAAAAGAATGTAACTTTAATATCACAAGATATGTTTAAAATTGACGATAAAGATTAGTACTTCATTGATAATTTACCTTCTGTAATAGTGACGTTATCTGTCCTCTTCAGGATGTCTTCTTCCGCGTTGATATGTAGTCTCTCCAGGTCTCTAGCAAACCTTTAAAAGTAAACCATATCACTCTTTGTATAAAAAACATTATGAATTAACTTAGAGATACTTCTATAGAGATTACAAAGGTTAGAGATACTTATATAAAACCAACGAAAGATTGGTAACCGCGCGGACTACTGTCTGAATATTGTTGTTTTGTGAAGAACCATTGTTGAATTAAAAATAGAAACAAATAAAATTAAATCGGAACCTTTATGATATAAATCAAATGGAAACGAGAACACCAAATCATTACTTAGGTTCGAACCAGATGAAGGTAGCCCAATAATTTTTATTCAATCATCTAGGGCTGCTTTCATCTTGGACCAAAGTAATGATTTGGCGTTCTCGTTTCCATTAAAAATTAGGAAGTTATCGTACTACAAGAGAGACGTAAGGATTAGAAACTAACAATGAGACATCATCACACATAAGCATAAAGTGTAAGTCCTTATCCAAGTAGCCAAAATCCATGCATGTTGCAGCAGTCATCTGTGAAAGAAAAAAATTCCAATATTTAAGAGCAGATGAAGTTTACGATCAGAAAATCAACAGTTTGGCAACGCAAGGATATCGCGGTACATTACAGGATTTAGGAATCAAGAGTAGAAGTTTGAGAATGCAGAATTTGGTGATTAACAAACGCTTGAACATTAAACCGAGATTTACATACAGCCATATTCAACCTCTCAGACTCCATGTCAGACAAGACGTGCAAGTCTTTTTCCAACGGCACGTTAAGAATGTTTGGACCCGAGAGAGGCATTTCTATCACAGGATCCGCAGGAGGCATTTCAATCGCGCGAAAATTATCCTCGTCTTCACACATTGGTCGTATTTGAAAAGCCTCCTCTGAGAAGTGAAGAAGATTACAGAAGTGAACCGGCACAAATGGTACCGTTAATAAGTATAGAATTAAACTCACTCAGACAGTGGTTAACCTGATAAGAATAAATTTTTGTTACGCCACCCATTAATTGCGCCGACAAACGCAAGCTTGATCTCATCGGTACGTTGCCATCTAACTGCATTTCCATAATTTCCTGGCTGACAATGTAATGTAAAAGTGCAAAGTGTTAAAATTATGCAAACGTGAAATTGTCACTGTAGACATTGATCAATATTGAAAGTAGACGAAAGTCCTGTATTATGAGATAGACTCTTAATATGAGATAATGGTGCTTCTGTTAAATTAATAAGCATCATCTGTTGCTCTTGGAGCGAAATCTGCTTACAATTAGTGGAAAAGTGATTGTTCAATTGTGTAATTGTTGCGGAAAGATTTGTGATTGAAATTGAGTGTTGAAAATCTGCTACCTCATAATAGAGAACTCTTTCCTCTGAATGAACAAAATGACGTACCAAATTTGCTCGACGCTTAACTCTTTTATGGTCCTAGCGTGGTACCGTTTCTTAAATGATTGCTCACTGAGCGTCGCAGCGAACCAGCAAGGAGCTAATTTGTTCCTCCGTCGACGGGAAAGAAGTAGATTTGGATAGAACATCTGACGAGAAGCAGGACTCGTTGATAAAAGCCGGTTTGTGTAAGTGGCAGACGAAAGATCATGTCAAAAGAGTAAAAACGATAATAGCAACAGAAAACAGCGGTGGAATTACCTTGATATATGTCAAGTTGCTCTAATATCAAGCCCGTACGGATATTCTTGTCAAATGTAACGATTAATGACCAAATTCTTTTGGGAGTAGTCGATCGAAGCTCTCAATTTTTACAACTTATGAGCTCAATTTCCTCCAGACGCGCCTCCCTCGGACGTTACTCCTTTCGCTTTTCCTCTTTCGCGAGTTATTTCACTTATTACGGAAAGCACGGGCGTCCCAACGTACTTTTAGCGTCGTTTTTTCAAATTGCTTGCGCGCCGAAAGCATCGACGGGTTCGTTCGTAAATGTGCATTTTCATGCTGACGCTTGACGCTCACTTCGAGCGTCAAACTAGTGACATGGGGTGCGTTCCGATTTACGCATAAAGCGCGTAGAGTACATAGAAAGTCGTTCCGAATTAGCTATTGCGCGCTTCGAAAGCGCTTCGAGAGAGCTATGAATTCCCTAGAGTGTACTAACCGTACTGAATTCTTAGCACTCCTCCCAGCGCATTGACTGCTTCTCTTTTGACTTGAGGCAGTTGATGCGTCTAATGCGTTCATGCGGTCTATGCGTTTCTTGCATAATTCGGAACACATTTTCACTGCAAGTTCCGTTCGTCTTCTAACCTAGAAGAGAAATTTTTGGTTCTCGGGATTGCATTACCCCGCGTGAGGCCCGACAGTCGAGCCTT